AGGGCGTCCGTGCGGCAACGTACTCCCCCGGTGAGCGGGGCACATTCGTGCCTCGCTTCAGAAGCTCAACGCGTCACACGTGCGGCTCTGGACGTTTCTGTACGTTCGCAGCAAACCCGGTAACCAGGGTGTGTTTATCGTTTTCTTTCATTCGGTTTACGCTTAATGGGGGAAAGAAATTACGGCTTCAACAGCAACGCAACTCGCAGGCCTCCCCCAGCCTCACCGCCCTCACCGCCCTCACCACCCTCACCTCCCTCACCTCCCTCACCACCCTCACCACCCTCACCACCCTCACCGCCCTCACCGCCTTCACCGCCCTCACCGCCCTCACCACCCTCACCGCCCTCGCGCCCTTCACCCATCCTCATCGCCCTTGCCGCCCTGACTGCCCTGACCGCCCTCCCCTGCCCTCCACACCCTCACCACCCTCACCGCCCTCACCTCCCTCACCGCCCTCACAGCCCTGACCACCCTCACCTCCCTCACCGCCCTCACCGCCCGCCCTCACCGCCCTCGCCACCCTCACCTCCCTCACCTCCCTCACCTCCCTCACCACCCTCACCACCCTCACCTCCCTCACCACCCTCACCACCCTCACCACCCTCACTGCCCTCGCGCCCCTCACCCATCCTCGCCGCCCTGACTACCCTTACCGCCCTCCCCGCCCTCACCAACCCTCACCGCCCTCACCGCCTTCACCGCCCTCACCGCCCTCACCACCCTCACCGCCCTCGCGCCCTTCACCCATCCTCATCGCCCTTGCCGCCCTGACTGCCCTGACCGCCCTCCCCTGCCCTCCACACCCTCACCACCCTCACCGCCCTCACCGCCCTCACCGCCCTCACAGCCCTGACCACCCTCACCTCCCTCACCGCCCTCGCCACCCCCGCCGCCCCTCACCGGCTGAGCGCAGCACAGGTCGCGCAGGATCTCCTCGATGAAGAACTTGCTCTTGCCGTAGGGGTTGGTGCAGCCGCCCGTCGGGTGCGTCTCGCCCAGCGGCAGCTTCTCGGGGACGCCGTACACGGTGGCCGAGCTGCTGAACACCACGTCACGCACGCCGTGCGCCTTCGCCACCTGCCGGGGGGGGGGGGGTAGAGGGGGGGGCATGGTGGAGGGGGGCGGGGAGGCGTGGTGGAGGGGGGCGGGGGGGCGGGCCACCACGATCATCGTCATCGTCATTAACATCGCATTGACAAACATTACCACCACTGGCACAACTTAACATACAAACCTTAATACAGGTTTTTTTGGGTTAGATCGCGTAAATATGGAAATGTGTCGTTCAAGTCGCCACCACGCGGGTGGTGGCGGGTTTACGTCACCACCAGTCGCGGGTTGAACGACACATTTTTAAAAATATATTTTCGTGATCTAACCCAAAAAACCTGTATTAAGGATATTGGTCGCGAAATGCCTACATGTTAAACTATCATATAAACGACCATCATCATCTCCACAATCAACATCGTCATTACCCACGACCAACGCCATCGTCACCTTCTACCGACATCACAATCACAACTCGGAATGACCACACCCCTACACGGTGTCGCTTGTCCACCGCTAAACCATTTACAATAACCCGCCACGTTTGTATATATCACGCAGCAGATCGGCGTAACTTAATTGTGCATCTGTTTCACAATCGTAACAATTGGTTCGGGAACGCGATTCTGACAGCTGTTGTTATCATAGCGCTACGACTTATATTATTTTCCTGCGTAATCATCAACCATTTTTTTTAATGTGGAAAATAAAACTCAGAAATACCGGCACGTGGTAAATAAAACTCCGTCCGAATCCTCGGCAGGCTTTCTGCTCTTCTCTAACGATCGATCCTCGTGCGTTGCGTGCGTACGTGCATGCGCATCTCGAACATACGGAGTCGGTTTACGAATCAATGACCAGGCGGCCCAAGACGATGGCGTGGTGCCGTCCGGAGCCTGGCGCGGAGCGGAGGAGCCGTGCGGCACAGAGGTCGCAACCGGGTACCCGATACCCGTACCCTACCCGCTACCCGGCTACCCATACCCGGCCGGGTACGGGTACCCGTTTGCGACCCTGGTGCGGCCGGGTATGGGTAGACCGTGAGTCACTGGTGAGTAACCGTTTGTCACTCATTTCCCAACGTCTTGTCTCTTCTCACAATTCAAGTTCCTAGAATCAACCCACCCGCGCCTGCAACATGGCTTCATCCCAGAGGTCGCAATCGGGTACCCGATACCTGTACCCTACCTGTACCCGGCCGGGTACGGGTACGGGTACCCGTTTGCGACCCTGGTGCGGCCGGGTACGGGTAAGGAATCAAAACCCGTTTGCGACCTCTGGTGCGGCGGCAAGAAAGGACGGAGCGGCGAGACAGTTTGGAAACGTTCGAGACGCGGATGCGGAGGAGGAGGAGGGTGCATGGGGAGCGAAGCCGATGAAGAGCTCTTGAATGACATCGACGATAGAAAGGAACGGTAAGGGAAGGACAACACCTGAAGGAGAGAAAAGAACGGGACTGGACGCGTTGACGGGCGAGGACCGTTGCAGATGGAATTGCGGTGGGGCATGAGAACGAGCGGGTCGCTGGCGGTGCTGAAGGAAACGGGGGGGGGGGGTAACGCAGAGGAGGGAGCAGAGCAGAGAGCAGAGACGGATGGGGAAGATGGCAGCCGAGGACCGGGTGTTTGTTAAGGCAGAGCGCCGGAGAGGAAGAGGAGTCACACAACAATAACAACCGCCATTCGCCACTAAGTGGCGGTGACGTCACCACGGCGCTTGTGCCATGCTAGGTGCACGTTGAGGCCACGTGAATTGTCGAACGCCCGCGGGCAGGAGGTCACGGGGCAGACCCAGCAGGTGCCACGGGTCGACTGACCGAGATGACCGAGATGACTGGTTGATGCACCACCTGTGCCCCCCTACTGTGCCAATTTGCTGTGCTTTAGCCACCCGACGCTCCGTTCATTTTTGTGAGCGTCACACACACAAACGAGCAGACACGGGTTGCATACGCACGCTCGCACGCGCGAGTGTCTGTGTGTGCCAGCGGTGTCAAGATCGGCCTCAGTGGAGGAGGCTCGTGAAGGACGCTACTTGGCAGTTGGAGGCAGTCGCCCTCCAACAACAACGGAGGGCGGAGGAGCGACGCTCGCAACAACGAGCGGAGCGCCGGGTGGCTAAAGCACAGCAAGTTGGCACAGTAGGGGGCACAGGTGGTGCATCATCCAGTCATCTCGGTCATCTCAGTCAGTCCCGTGACCTCCTGCCAGCGGGCGTTCGACACTTCACGTGGCGTCAAGGTGCACATGGCCTGGCACAAGCGTCGTGGTGACGTCACCGCCACTTAGTGGCGAATGGCGGTTGTTGTTGTGCGGCGCCCGCTCCAGGCTCGGTGTACCTGCAGCAGGTTGAGTGCCCCCGCCACGTTGACCTGGTAGTAGCGCAGCGGCTGCTCCACAGACTCGCCCACCGCCTTGAGGCCGGCGAAGTGGATGATGGCGCTGAAGGAGTACTGCGTGTGCCGACAACCACAACAACAACAACAACATCGTGAATCACCGCAGTGAGGGAATGCCGAGTGGACCAGCACATCGACAATAAACAACATCAGACAACGGTGAATGCTATCGGTGAGTGCGAGTGTGAGGTGAGTGTGAGGTGAGTGTGAGGTGAGTGTGAGGTGAGTGTGAGGTGAGTGTGAGGTGAGGAGTGCGAAGTGAGGAGTGGGTGGTGAGGAGGAGTGAGAGGCGAGCGCTTGCCTGGCTGAAGAGCTTCTGCAGTGCCGGCTCGTCCATCATGTCGACCTCGTGGAAGGCAATGTCGGCCCCCGTGAGCTCCCTCACGCGACGCAAGCTCTCGGGCTCCCCACCGGGACCTGACGCACGACAACACGCAAAGCACACACAACGCACACGCGTGACGAGCTGGCGAGGCTCCATTGAGCACAGCGGCTCGGTGACACGGATGGCCACAGCCCCAAACTGGCGGCAGTGTTTGCCTCTGTGGCTAGGAGATGTTAACTACCTCGCCCGGTGTGCAGGAGGTCGTGGGTTCCATCCCGACCCTGACGCCTGCTGCTGTATATTTGGAGTTTGCGTCTCATCATCATCATCATCATCACAGTGGCTAGGAGATGTTAACTACTTCGCCCGGTGTGCAGGAGGTCGTGGGTTCCATCCCGACCCTGACGCCTGCTGCTGTATATTTGGAGTTTGCGTCTCATCATCACAGTGGCTAGGAGATGTTAACTACCTCGCCCGGTGTGCAGGAGGTCGTGGGTTCCATCCCGACCCTGACGCCTGCTGCTGTATATTTGGAGTTTGCGTCTCATCATCATCATCATCATCACAGTGGCTAGGAGATGTTAACTACTTCGCCCGGTGTGCAGGAGGTCGTGGGTTCCATCCCGACCCTGACGCCTGCTGCTGTATATTTGGAGTTTGCGTCTCATCATCATCATCATCACAGTGGCAAGGAGATGTTAACTACCTCGCCCGGTGTGCAGGAGGTCGTGGGTTCCATCCCGACCCTGACGCCTGCTGCTGTATATTTGGAGTTTGCGTCTCATCATCATCATCATCATCACAGTGGCTAGGAGATGTTAACTACTTCGCCCGGTGTGCAGGAGGTCGTGGGTTCCATCCCGACCCTGACACCTACTGTCTACTGTAATATTTGGAGTTTGCGTGTGTCTCTCTCTCTCTCGCCCCGGGGTCACGTGGATTTTTCCCCGGGTTCCTCCGGTTTTCCCGTCCACATTTAGCATCAACGTGCGTTTAGAGTGTTTGGCTGCTATACATTTCCACGTGATAAGCCACTTCGTTGAGCTATCAATTGTGGCCAGGTTGCTTCTCACGGGGAGGTAGGGGGTTGTTTTTGCCGTGTATATACAAAGACAAAGTTCCCCCATGTAGCCTTAACAGACTGTTGGGGCAAGTGCTGCTAGCGAGCACCTATGAAGGCTGACACGCCACACGATGGGGTGGGTGGCCAGCACCATGCAGCACTTGCCCCAACAGTCTGTTAAGGCTACACGGGGGAACTTTGTCTTTGTATATACACGCACACACATACACCAACATACAAACAAGGTGCACACCACACTTAATCATTTAGCAGACTGATCCTCTCCTACCTAGATACCTTCGTTGGTGACACTGCTGCTATGGTGTCAAGGAAATCCTGGAATGATCCGTGTGCTAAGCTACAGCGAGACTTTGACTTTAATCCCAAAGCACCCCATTGATCTCAGCCTCATTCTGCCCTCCCCCGACCCTCCTCCCAGAATGGTGGCATTCAGACGATTAACAAATCGAACTTGTGGATAAAGTTTAAATATCTCAGTCATCCCCGACCACAAGCTGCGCAAAAAAAATCACACTCGCAGAGATTTTAAAAAAATTGGCTTCCTGTACAGAATTAAACTTCTGCATTCCATCGCGACTACGAGTGGCTATCTGTAGCGTCACTGTACTCTCCCACCTTAGAGGCCATTGTGGTGTTATTTATTTATATACTTGGTGTAGGCTCGGCACTAAACAAACTGGTTCCATTGACCCACTCCCGATTTACCCTGATAACCCCTACCCAGAACCCATCAGTCTGCACTTTGAACTCTCGTGTGTGAATGTTGAACTTCTTTCACACCGTGCGAATCGGAGGTGCGGAGGAATAATAAACTAAACATAAAAATCAGCGATAAAGAAATACAGAAATTCGTCTTTAATCTTGCTTTAAAAGTGGAAGAGCGTTCAATGAAGAGGCTCAAGACGATGGCGCGGAGCGGAGCCTTAACGGACTGTTGTTAGCGAGCACCTATGAAGGCCGGCACGGTACACGAGGTGGTAACGGACTGTTGTTAGCGAGCACCTATGAAGGCCGGCACGGTACACGAGGTGGTAACGGACTGTTGTTAGTGAGCACCTATGAAGGCCGGCACGGTACACGAGGTGGTAACGGACTGTTGTTAGCGAGCACCTATGAAGGCCGGCACGGTATACGAGGTGGTAACGGACTGTTGTTAGTGAGCACCTATGAAGGCCGGCACAGTACACGAGGTGGTGGGTAGCCAGCACGATGCCCGACCGCCTTTGATGTTTTTACACACCGCAACAAGTACTCATTCCGTCACAGTTCCTATGATCACCGTTTCATTGCTTTATTTTGGTGATTTCGAAAAGTTTACTGGTTTGGCCACGTTTGTTTGTTGTAATATGGAGTAAGACTGATGGCCTTAATCTAAGTTGTCTTGTGGTTGTTGTTATTGTTTGACTTGCATCCCACTGGGATTTTTGCACACAGCATTGGTGTACGGTGTCTTTTCTGCAATATTTTGCAGTTTTTTCTTGGATTTTCTGTTTGCACTTAGTCACATATTCACTTTAAGATGTTTTCTTGTTCTTGTTCATGTTTTTGTTTTTTATTTGTTGCGGTTGCACCCGATTCAAGAGCCGAATGGCTCACAGGGCTTGTACCTAATAAATGAACTTGAACTTGATTTGAGGCTGAGTCGACCTAGGGAAGACCCAGGGCCGGTTCAGATAATCGTCACTGGTGTTGGCCGTGAGCGGGAATCGAACTCGGGTCGCCGGGTTCGTAGGGCACTGCACTAACCGCTACACCACCGCTCCCCACATATAAAATGCGTTTCGAGTATTTCGCTGCTATACATGTCCACGCGACAAGCCACTTCGTTGAGCTATCATTTGTGATAGCCAGGTCGCTTCTGAAAAAGTGCTGTGTATCTCAGTGGGCCTTCCGTTTAGTTTATAGCACACACTTCCTGCAACACGCACGCACGCATGCACACACCGGCTTGCGCACCACGGATGGCGTTGTGGAAGTTGTCGATGACCACGGCGGAGTAGCCGGCCTGCACGAGCTCCACCAGCGTGTGGCTCCCGATGTAGCCGGCTCCACCCGTCACCAGGATCGTCCTCTTGCTCCCTGCCGCCGCCATCGCCGCCGCCGCCGCTGCTGCTGCTAGCCGGCACAGAGCAGCACGCCGCAAAGACACGCGCGCACCCAACTCCGATTAGCACGGCTGGCTCCGTACGGTGCGAAAGAAATTCAACATACGCACGGACACACACGCATGCGTGGACACACGCCAGAGGTCGCAACCGGGTACCCGATACCCGTACCCTACCCGATACCCGGCTACCCGTACCCGGCCGAGTACGGGTACCCGTTTGCAACCCTGGTACGGCCGGGTACGGGTACGGATAAGGAATCAAAATCCGTTTGCGACCTCTGACACACGCGCGCACACACATGCGCCACGCAGTTAGATTTTTTTCCTTTCATCACATCTGCGATGTATGGTACATCCCGACAATGACCTCGTTGTATGACGTTACAGCTCTTGCGCAGCTTTATTTACAGAGCTGTGTTGGCGCGGTTCGTATTTTCCAAAAAAATCTAATTACGTGTCTTCCCTCCCCACCACCGCCCCAAGTGTGATATCGGCGTCACGGTCACGAGAAGTACGAATCCCGTCTGTAATTGTCAGGGTGAAGAGCGCCCAGCTTCCTGCCTCCTTGTGCTCGACAGCATTAACCGTAAAGCAGTCAGAATGACCGATGACCCAGCACCCACCGATTCACTCCAGCCGCTCGCTCACCTACGGCTTTTCTATCGCGACCGCCACGGTTGCAGTACCGGTGGACTTTCACTCGTTGATTCCTCGAGCCATGTTGAGGACTCGGTCTGCCAGACTGACCGTTTCGTCTCAACCGCACTGTGTTCAACCAGCACCGCGCAGAGCAGGTCACAACTCGTTCACTCATCCACTTATTCACCCGCCCACTCACTCGCTCACCCACTCAACGCACAACCGGTCACACGTCACAACACTTCTCTTTATGCCTCATTCCCCCCATTGCTCAACTTTCCAAATCCCTCCCACCGTCTCTTTCCCCAGAATTTTTACAAACCTTTTCCCAATTTAAGAAACGTATTGAAAGCTCGTATCGATCACACCTTCAATTGTGCTGCTTGGCTTTTTGTTGCAACCCATCATCACCATCTCGCTAGGGATGATAACAAATAAAATGGTACCAATTTGTGCAATTTAATATGTAGACTTTCACGACCAATATTATGATTCATACTCTTTGGTTCTTTCGGTAAAGTATATAAATATACCCACGTGACTTTACCGAAAGAACCAAAGAGTATGGATTCCTGCAGTCACGAAAGCTTCAAATCAAGATTATGATTCAGAATTGATATTTGGGAAATATCGCGTAAAAAGAATGTCGCTAAGCCTCCTCCACCCGACACGGCCAATTCGTAGAGTTGTCATGTGCTCAACATGCCACTTTATTGCGGAGAGCCATCTCACGGCATTTAACAATTGGGTTGGGGACATTTCACCGCCCTTCGTGACAAGCATCATCAGCCAGTTGGCAGAATTAGTGGAAGTCAAGAGCACGCAGGTCCCAAGCCGCTGACCGACGGAATCGACCCAAATGCAAACACTCTGGCGTTGGCTGTCAGCAGAGATGATAGTTGTACATACATCTGTGTGTGTGTGGGTGATGACCAAAGCACCTTCATAGGTGCTCGCTAACAGCACTTGCCCCAAACAGTCTGTTAAGGCTATACGGGGTGATCTTTGTCTTTTGTCTTTGCGGGTGATGACCTAGGCCCTGCCTTGAACAAAAGACGTTATAGATCAGATGACATCACGATAATAATCCGTGTAAGTACCCCCTCTACGTGGCACTGGTGCTCATATTTGCTTTTTTTTTGTTTAAATGCCAACTGCCCATTCGAATACAAAGAGAGGTTTGTAACGTGCGTTGGGGCAGCCCCTGACGACACGTGCCACCTTCTCAAGGCCACGTCACGTGGTCGCCTCTCAAGGCCACGTCACGTGGTCACCTCTCAAGGCCACGTCACGTGTCACCTCTTAAGGTCTAGGTCACGTGTCACCTCTCAAGGTCTAGGTCACGTGTCACCTCTCAAGGTCTAGATCACGTGTCACCTCTCAAGGCCTAGGTCACGTGTCACCTCTCAAGGCCTAGGTCACGTGTCACCTCTCAAGGTCTAGGTCACGTGTCACCTCTCAAGGCCACGTCACATGTCACCTTTCAAGGTCTAGGTCACGTGTCACCTCTCAAGGCCACGTCACGTGTCACCTCTCAAGGTCTAGGTCACGTGTCACATCTCAAGGCCTAGGTCACGTGTCACCTCTCAAGGCCTAGGTCACGTGTCACCTCTCAAGGCCACGTCACGTGTCGCCTCTCAAGGCCACGACACGTGGTCACCTCTCAAGGTCACGTCACGTGTCACCTCTCAAGGCCACGTCACGTGGTCACCTCTCAAGGCCACGACACGTGGTCACCTCTCAAGGTCACGTCACGTGTCACCTCTCAAGGCCACGTCACGTGGTCACCTTAAGGCCGCATCACGTGTCACTAACCCCATGGCCGTGCGGGGTTGTGGGGGGCTCTATTTGACCATACTTCACCACGCCGGTCAATGCTGTTTGCTGAAGGCAGTGATCACTGACATCCGTATCACAGTGCAACGGCCGACGTACGCATCGTTAAACGATTCCGGGTGTGCACTCATGTACATGTTTCAATAGTTTGGCATCAATTGCGGTCAATTGCTCGTCACGTGTCCAAAAAGTGACGTGATCCCCCCCAGAACCCGTGACTTTTTGTTTCATAGCCGCACTCACGTGTGGCGAGTTTAAATATCGTGGTGAACATTTCATCCGGCGACATCGCCGAATCCATCACCGCGCGGTTAAATTAACCCACGTGCCAAACGTGGATAATGTGTAACTCGATTACAACCCAGCGTTAAACATTCGAGAATCGGCAAAAACATCAATAAATGGGCATTGTTTGTTGACGGCTACAACACTGGCTGAGTCGTGTGCGGGGGAGACGCACAGAGACTCTTTAAGAGTGGGCAATATCAAATGTGCTTACCTTTTAGGGGTTAGATCGCGTCAATATATGAATGTGTCGTAAAACCCTCCACCACCCGACACGGCCAACTAGTAAGGGTTGTCACGTGAACAGAACGTGGCCAATTCGTAACTGGAACAGCACTAACCGGTGTGTTGGAGAGCAAAGCCACAACATTTACAATCCGAAGTACGACGTTACGCCAGCGATTACAACCGGCTCCATCATGCGGACATCCACATTTATTCTTTCCTACTTAACCACAGAAATACATTATATGGATTCATAAAGTTTGTTTGCAAAAAAGCCGACGTAGTGTTTGTAAGAGGGCCACCCCACCCCGCTTAAAGCGTTGTTCAGTCTCGGCAAAAACCAAAATGACAAATGACTCGATGTCACCCGAGGATCAATGCAAATCGCATCGATGTGTCATCGATGTGTCATCGTAAAATAACGACCCCATCCGAGACGGATCGTGAGCCGGGTTCTGTGCCCTGCCACCCGGCAAGAGGCGACGTTTTCGATGCAATTGTCACCACCCCACGTGCGAATTGACCCGCAACAACTGAAAATGTTTTTTTTATTGTAAATTAAATTTGGCGTCCAAGAGTTTTGGCCTCTCTGTTGAGACGTTAAAACACCAAACGGAAACCTTTTGCAAGGATTCCCGTCTGCATTAACCACACACACAGTACTTGGGGTGAACGTGCAAACACAAAAACACATGCTCTGGTAGTAAATGCATTGTCTTTGAAACTGGTTGCTCTACACCAGAGACATTCTATTTCGATGCTGACAAGAAAAGGTCCCATGTTATAAAACCTTCTGCCGGATATTAAAAAAAACCCACTGCGTTCACTCTTCACAGGGCACAGGGGGGCAAATCCCTTACAAGCCCCCCCACAATCGCTCTAACATTATATATACATTACATTATATATATTACATTATATACATTACATTATATATATTACATTTTATATATATATATATATTACATTATATATCACACACACACACATCTCCGTGAAACGAAACAAGTGAACCGAAAAATTCGCTTTCCCCCTTACGGGAGGGCATCGACCCCGGCAGGCAGTCACCACCAACAAAGACAAAGGTCCCCCGTGTAGCCTCTAACAGACTGCCGGGGCAAGTGCTGTTTGGCGAGAAGCGTCACGCCCGGCCGCCTTTGTCTCCTCCGAGCGGCGATGGGGTTTGAGGCCGAGTGGACCTAGGGGAGGTGGCCCCAGGACCGGTTCAGATCATCGTCCACTGATGTTCTAACAGCAGACCCGCATCTGTGTGATGACACTAATTTGGCGACGTTGTCACTGCGGCTTTGAAAGAACACGGATAGAACAGGCGACGTTTCGGGAAATGGCCCTTCTTCAGAGCATGTGATGATGACGACGGGCCGTATGTCGGGTGCGTACGTACACGTACCTGCGAGACGTGCAAGATGAATTCAATGTCAATACAGCAGCGCACTTAGTGACCCCGAAAACAAAAAAACAGTCGGTGGTAGGTGGTGAACAGTCGGTGGTAGGTGGTGAACAGTGGGGTTGGTAGGTGGTGAACAGTAGGGTTGGTAGGTGAAGTTGGTGGTAGGTGGTGAACAGTAGGGTTGGTAGGTGAAGTCGGTGGTAGGTGGTGAACAGCGAGGTTGATAGGTGATGAACAGTCGGTGGTAGGTGAACGATCGGGTTGGAAGTTGACCAGTCGTGTGGTAAGTGAACAGTGGTGTGGAAGGTGGTGACCAGTGGTGTGGCAGGTGACCAGTCGGGTTGGAATGTGAGTAGCGATGTGCTGGGAACGCCGGGGCAATGAGTCCTGTAGCCACGTGTCCCTCCCCCCCTCCCCCCCACGTCTACAGCAGCCGCGGCGCTTCCGGGGTCCGGCCTCGGTGACGTCGCCGGACGCCGCAATCGCCGTTTTAGCAATCGTCAGCGTCTCTTCGTCACCACGTGGTGTGTGTGTGTGTGGGGTGTGTGTGTGTGTGGGGTGTGTGTGCGGTGTGTGTGTGGGGTGTGTGGGGTGTGTGTGGGTGTGTGTGGGGTGTGTGTGGGGTGTGTGTGTGTGGGGTGTGTGTGTGTGGGGTGTGTGTGTGTGGGGTGTGTGTGTGTGGGGTCTGTGTGTGTGGGGTGTGTGTGTGTGGGGTGTGTGTGTGTGGGGTCTGTGTGGGTGTGTGTGGGGTGTGTGTGGGGTGTGTGTGGGGTGTGTGTGGGGTGTGTGTGTGTGGGGTGTGTGTGTGGGGGGTGTGTGTGTAGTGTGTGTAGGGGGTGTGTGTGGGGTGTGGGGTGTGTGCGGTGTGTGGTGTGTGTTGGGTGTGCGTGTGAGTGGTGTGTGTGGTGTGTGTGGGTGGTATGTGTGGTGTGTGTAGGGGGTGTGTGTGGGGTGTGTGTGGGGTGTGTAGTGTGGTGTATGTGTAGGGAGTGTAGTGTGTGTAGGGTGTGTGTGTGTGGGGTGTGTAGTGTGTGTGTGGTGTGTGTGCGGTGTGTGGGGTGTGTGTGTGGGGTGTGTGTGTGTGGGGTGTGTGTGTGTGGGGTGTGTGTGGTGTGTGTGTGTGGGGTGTGTGTGTGGTGTGTGTGTGTGTGGGGTGTGTGTGTGGGGTGTGTGTGTGTGGGGTGTGTGTGTGTGTGGGGTGTGTGTGTGTGGGGTGTGTGTGTGGGGTGTGTGTGCGGTGTGTGTGTGTGTGTGGGGTTTGTGTGGTGTGTGTGTGTGGGGTGTGTGTGGGGTGTGTGTGTGGGGGGGGTGTGTGTGTGGGGTGTGTGTGTGTGTGGGGTGTGTGTGTAGTGTGTGTAGGGGGTGTGTGTGGGGTGTGTGCGGTGTGTGTTGGGTGTGCGTGTGAGTGGTGTGTGTGGTGTGTGTGGGTGGTGTGTGTGGTGTGTGTAGGGGGTGTGTGTGGGGTGTGTGTGGGGTGTGTAGTGTGGTGTATGTGTAGGGAGTGTAGTGTGTGTAGGGTGTATGTGTGTGGGGTGTGTAGTGTGTGTGTGGTGTGTGTGGGGTGTGTGTGGTGTGTGTGTGGTGTGTGTGCGGTGTGTGGGGTGTGTGTGTGGGGTGTGTGTGGGGTGTGTGTGGGGTGTGTGTGGTGTGTGTGTGTGTGGGGTGTGTGTGCGGTGTGTGTGTGTGGGGTGTGTGTGTGGTGTGTGTGTGTGTGGGGTGTGTGTGTGGTGTGTGTGGGGTGTGTGTGTAGGGTGTGTGTGTGTGTGTGGGGTGTGTGTGTGGTGTGTGTGTGTGGGGTGTGTGTGTGTGGGGGGGGTGTGTGTGGGGGGGGTGTGTGTGTGGGGTGTGTGTGTAGGGTGTGTAGTGTGTGTGTGTGGGGTGTGTGTGTGGTGTGTGTGTGTGGGGGGTGTGTGTGTGCTGTGTGTGTGTGGTGTGTGTGGTGTGTAGGGTGTGTGGGGAGTGTATGGGGTGTGTGTGTGGGGTGTGTGTGTGCTGTGTGTGTGGTGTGTGTGGTGTGTTTGTGTAGTGTGTGTAGGGGGTGTGTGTGGGGTGTGTGTGGGGTGTGTGTGGGGTGTGTAGTGTGGTGTATGTGTAGGGAGTGTAGTGTGTGTAGGGTGTGTGTGTATGGGGGGTGTGTGTGGGGTGTGTAGTGTGTGTGTGGGGAGTAGTGTGGGGTGTGTGTGGGGTGTGTAGGGTGTGTGTGCGTGTGTGGTGTGTGTGTGGTGTGTAGGTATGGTGTGTGGTGTGCGTGGTGTGTGTGTGGTGTGTGTGTGGTGTGTGTGGGGTGTGTGTGGTGTATGTGTAGTGTGTGTGTGGTGTGTGTGGGGTGTGTGTGGTGTATGTGTAGTGTGTGTGTAGTGTGTGTGGAGTGTTTGGTGTGTATGTGTGTGTGGTGTTTGTGGGTAGTATGTGGGTGTGTGTGGTGTTTAGGTGTGGTGTGTGGGTGTGTGTGGTGTGTTTGGAGTGTGTGTGGTGTATGTGTAGTGTGTGTGTAGTGTGTGTGGTGTGTTTGGTGTGTGTGGTGTTTGTGGTGTGTGGATGTTTGGCCTTAAGAAAAAAAATAGGCGACGTTTCAGGCAATGGTCCTTCTTCACAGCACGAATGGCTGCATCGCACCGTTTTTCCTCACTTGAGAAATATAAGCTCAGGGTTTTTTTTATTTGGAATCAAAATTTTAAAAAATCAGAATATGTATTGATACTGATGGAATCCGATGAGCTACAAACTATAAACATTCTGATTCTGACAGTATATATTTGGTGCGATATAATTTTATCGATCAATTGATGCATGCTCGTTACACCCCTTAATGTTTAAACACAAATACAACGCACGTCGAGTCATTATAATCGTTTTGTAAGTATTTATTGGGTGAATGGGAATGTACAATTCCTTCAAGGTCATGCGAGTGTAGTGCAAGGACTGTCGTTGACCAGCCGATTCCAATCAAGAACCGATTCTCTACCCCACCGTATTGCCATTGTGGGCACAGCAGCGCCTCTAGTACCTGCAGAGACCCACGAGAACCGATCTCGCACGACAGATACGAATCGCGAGTAATCGATTCTTGCGTACGCTGGGTCATTACATCATCATCAGTCAAGATTTGTCAGACTGTTCGGTCCTGTTAGCGAGCACCTATTAAGGCCGGCACTGTGCACAACGGGAAGCATTTTGTCTCCACAGTGCTGGAAGTTTATACGCAGCGCCAGGTACTCATTTAAGGCTGAGTCGACCTAGGGGAGGCCCACGACCAGTTCGGACAATCGTCGCCGGCCGTGAGCGGGAGTCGGAGCTCGGTTCGCCAGGTTCATAGCGCAGCGCGCTAACCACTGCACGAACGCTCCCACACATACACACAAATGTCACACATTAAACAGTCGGTACCTTGGAGAACAGGTTGTAGCAATGAGCAAACATTTCCAACACGTTTAGCCCAATAGGATTTCATTCACCAACAAAAAAAAATCCATCAAATTCCACGCATTCTAAAAGCTAGCACCTATCTATTTACCCGCGGCACACGCCGTGGGAAGAGAAAAGAGAAGGAATGGGAATTTAGACGAAAATTATGGGAAACAGAATGGAGAAACGGGTGCCTAGGGGGTCAGGAGAGATGGGGGGACAGAGAGAGAGAGAGGTGGAAGAGTCTGCATCAGGGCCTCGATGCTGCTGCTGCTTCTGCTGCACGGAGGAGAGAGTGTTTTCAAAGTTGGGCGGGGAGAGAGGGAAGCGATTCAGAGTGGGAGGGAGTTGAACAGAAGTTACGTTAGACGTTATAGATGGGGGGAGCGGTGGTGCAGTGGTTAGTGCATCGAGCCATTTAGAAATCAAGGCCTGGCTTTCTTGAAACAATGGCAAAAGTTTATTCAATCTTAACCCCCTCTGTCCCCGCAGCAGTATGAATGTGTAGATGTGTGTGTAACGATGATGATGATGGGAGATACAGTGGCGAGATGTTAATTTCCTCGGCTGGTATACAGGAGGTTGTGGGTTCGATCCCGAACCTGACGCCTGTTAATTTGGAGTTTGAATGTTCTCCCCGTGGTCCAATGGATTTGTCTCCGGGTCCTCTGGTTTCTAGCTCCACATTTAGCAACGTGCCTTTAGAGTATTTGGCTGCGATACATTTTTCACGTGATAAGCCACTTCGTTGAACTATCATTTTTGGCCAAGTCGCTCATGAAAAAGATCTTTATAGCTCAGTGGGCCTCACCAGGTAAAATACAAAGTTTAGTTTAGTTTATGTTAAAAAATTGTTTGCTTTAAATGTGGGTACACCTACTTCTTCGAAGATGTCTGGCTGGCGTGGAAAAGTAGGCCAAATACCTTCCAGAGGGGCTCTCTAGAGCTCCCTCTCGGAGTCCCTTCCGCCAGCATTGACGTGAGCAAGTAATTGCAGGGCTGCACCTCTACACTTTACAATCTATGCATATTTTGAAGCACTTGGGGTAAGTGTCATTGTTTGGTCGGTGCGTGTGTGAGTGCGTGCCAGATTCGTACAGCCGAGTCGACAGCGGGCACAAGTTTGGGGCGCGTCGTCCTCTCTCCGAAGCGTCTCACAATCCAGTGAATGCGTCACGTCGAACCGCGACCTACAAGCCGTATCTCCTACACCGGCAAGCCCCCCCCCCCCCCCCACCGATCACCACCCCCACAGCAGCGGGGATGGTGTTGGGGGGGGGAGTCTCAGAGAACCAAAGCGAGCCAGCCGGCGATGAGGCACATGCCGCCGAACGGCGTGATGGAGCGCACGCGCCCGTCGGCCAGCCCCAGCGCGTGCACGTAGCAGCTGCCGCAGAAGAGCACCGTGCCGGCCGTGAGCAGTGAGCCGGCCTGCGGACAAAGGCCACCAATTGAGAACCGGCAACCAGTCTCGCGTCATGCACCACACCGCAGCCGACGTCAATGTCACACTTTGATCATTCGTTTCGGTGGCGTTTCAAATATCCACCGTGCGGCTACTGCTCCTGGAGCGGTGTCTTTGCAAACGTGCACCGTGGCCAGAGGTCGCAAACGGGTTTTGATTCCTTACCCGTACCCGTACCCGGCCGCACCAGGGTCGCAAACGGGTACCCGTACCTGGCCGGGTACCGGTAGCCGGGTATCGGGTACCCGGTTATGACCTCTGACCGTGGCTCTCTAGTGGGGCGCCATGGTGGTGAGATGTTAAACACCTCGCCTGGTATACAAGGGGTCGTGGGTTTGATCCAGACCCTGACGGCAACTGCTGTATGCTTGCATGTCTCTCACTTTTAGCCCCGCCCCCCCCTCCCAATACATTCCATTCATTGGCTACCACATTCTGATAAGCTCCCCCCTCTCTTCCCCCTTAACTTGTATTTAAGAACTTGCATCTTGGAATCCCTGCCTCACTTGATACAGCAAATCTGGCTGTGACGGTCCCACCTGATGACGGAGACTTGTGTTGCCTCCGAAACGTCGTGATTTTTATTATTTTATTTTTATTAATTTTAATTTCATTTTTTTACCTACGTGACTTTACCGAAAAAACTAAGAGTATGTCTGTCACTCACCTTGGTGGCGTGGATTTTTCTCCAGGTTCCTCGGGTTTTTCCCACCACGTTTAGAAACGTGTGCTTATAGTATTTGGCTGCTATACATTTCCACGTGATGAGTCACTTTGTTGAGCTATCATTTGTGTGGCCAGGTCACTTCTGGAAAAGAGCAATATAGCTCAGCAGGCCTTACCTGGTAATGTTAAAATAGTTTTAGTTTGTTTTAGTTCATACAGATTGCTGGGTCAAGTGCTCTGTGCAGGCATCTGCAAAGGCCGGCACAGCACAGGAAGAGCGAGGGCGGCCAGCAGTACGCCCCACTGCCTTTGTCTCCCAACTGGTGATGTTTACGCACCGTACCAAAAACTTATTGACGGTTGGGTCGACCTAGGGCAGGCAGGAAATGTTGTGAAGCTCCCGTCCCGCGGGCGTGGAGGAGGTCCCATACCCCTGGCTCGCCAGGAGAAGGCGGTACAGCAAGCGGACTGATCGCCATCACTTTCCGTTTGTACGGTAAGCGGACTGATCGCCATCACTGTCCGTACGGGGGATCGAGCGTTGCCCCGTCGCGTAAGGCGTGGGCTTTTCTCCGGGCCCTCCCGTTTCCTCCCCACGTTGTATGATAAACGCAACTCGTCGCCATTAATCAGCTGAAAACATTACGAATATAATGAGGCAATAATGTCAGTGTGTAACGCGCGTGACGTCACTCCACGTCGACCAGCCCCCCTCATTAATAATCATGAACAGGTGGGGTCCTCCCCCGTCATTAATAATCATGAGCGGGTGACGTCACTCCACATGAGGCCCCCCCCTCCCTCATTAATAATCATTAGCGGGTGACGTCACTCCACATGCCACACCCCTCCCCAATAACCATTAGCAGGTGATGTCACTCTACATGGGGCAACCCCCCCCCCCCTCATTAATAATCATGAGCTGAATAATTTTTCTATTGAAAATTTAAGATTTACTGCAATATACACCCGTCATTGGACGCGCAAACAAGCTAGTCTGAAAATAAAAACCCAATGCAGTAGCAGGAACCCTCCTGAATAAGAGGGCGATCGGGCGGGGCGGAGCGGGGGGGGGGGGCAGCGGGGGGCACCCTCACCAGGATGGGCCGCCGACAGTGTGGGACCCCCAGCAGAGCCAGCGTGTGGATGAAGTGGTAGCGATTCGCGGTGTCGTACGTCTGCGGAGCACGACAACAACAAAAACACATTATAAAATATATCTGAGCATTTGCATTGATAATAATACAGTAATATAACAATACTATTAGAACAATAACACTCTGGAAGCCAGACTGATTGAGAGAGAAGGAGTCTTTTCAGCTATAAGGCATATTTGGTCAATTGCAATTAAATATAATAAGGTTCAGTTTAATTTGGTGACGCGGGTAAGTAACATGCAGTCGTAGGCTGCTGTGCAAGACAGATCAGTGGAGTACGTTGTAAGATAAAAAAAATGTGGGTCTTTCGGTAAAGTCACGTAGATAGGTTCAAAGAAAATAACAAAAAAATTACAAAAAACGACGACGTTTCGATCACAACACAAGCGATCATCATCAGGAGGCCTTTTGTTATTTTTTTGTTATTTTCTTTGAACCTATCTAGCATTCACGATAAAAAAAACAATCAAACAAAGCACATTTAATCGCATCTCAAACATTCCAAAAGGCCCCCCTCCCAGTGGAAACTGTCCCTGTGCTTTACAAGGTAATCCAGCACCTGGCCTGCAAGGCGACATTAGTTTGGCAGTAGGGGGCGATGATTGCTACGTGTAAATTCAATTGAGTGATTTTGCGCCGTAATATTTCTAACTTGGTCAACGACGTCGGCAGGCGATGACCTACTCTTGCGGACGACGCCACTGGAATCTTTGACGTCCACTGTGGAACAGACGCTGCATGTCTACGGCTGACACACCCTGCAGTGTTAACCAGGACCACCTACCGGATTCGAACCGCGAACCTCTGCAACAAGCGATACCAGAGGTGTGGACTCGAGTCATGTGACTTGGACTCGAGTCAGACTCGAGTCATGAATTTGATGACTTGAGACTCGACTTGGACTTGCATAACAATGACTTTGTCCCACCTCTGAGCGATACTCTGTGAGGTGAGCATGCTAAGACTGGGCCATGTAACCGCCTCAACCACCACGGAGGTACAAAGTACACTGATCAGTGATAACCCTATATTATAGTGGTAGGAACCTCCTGGTTACACCAGCCCACAGGGGATTATTGTGTCCGTCGTGCAGGGAGGGGCTGGGTGGGAGGGAGGGGTTGGGTGGGGAGGGGAGGGTGGGGAGGGGCTAGGTGGGGAGAGGAGGGTGGGGAGGGGCTGGGTGGGGAGGGTGGGGCTGGGTGGGAGGGGTGGGGAGGGGGTTGGTCACCCCGTGGTGCCCTTATAAAACTCAACGTTTAACCTACTCACGCCGGATTGTGCCCGCCCTCACAGTCGGGCATATTTTCGGAATACACCACGCCGCCGTTGACCCTGGCCATTGACCGAGCAACCCAACGTTCCTACCAGCTCCCACCGCAGGGATGTGTTTGTACCCTGTACTGTATTCAAATAATCCCTTATCGTCAAGACTGTTCATGGCTATAATGCAAACATTGGTGGTGGGCGCTGTAGCACAAACCTGTTGCTGATTTTCGTCGGCTTGACCCATCTTGAACGCTGCGTTTGGAGACAAAGGAGACAGCAGAAACACATCACTCCCCAGTTGGCATCCGAGCCGTGGTTAAGGGGCCTTCGATTCGTGGACGAGACACTTTTTGTGCGAATTGGGTAAACAAAAAAAATAGATAACATCCACGTGGTTTACCCCAGGTGGGTACTCGAACCCACAATCCCTGGCTTAGGAGGCCAGTGCCGTATCCATTAGGCCACTGGGGCTACGCGCAGACAGACACACACACACCTTTACTGCATTCATACACAGAGACAAAGATCCCCTCCGCGGAGTCTTAACAGACTGTTGACATTTTTCGATTTAAAGCTTTCGAGACTGCAGGGATTAATATTCTTGGTTCTTTCGGTACAGTCCCGTAGAAGGGAAATAATAAAATAAAAGACTGTTGACACACAAGGCCAGGTACTAATTTGAGGCTGAGTCGACCTGGGGGAGGCCCAGCACCGGTTCAGATAATCGTCACCGCGGTGCCGTGAGCGAGAATCGAACTCGTAGCGCAGAGGCGCTCCAGCAAACGCTCCAGGAGCAGTCAGCATCGAGTGGCGGTGGCAGTCACAGCCGCGCCTGTGCCAGCCTAGGTGCCGCTTTAGCCAACACGCAACAACATCAACAACAACTACTACTCACTGTGGGCATTGTAGGCGCCTGCCGAAACCGCGAGAGCTCCCGAGACCCCAGCGAGCCGCACGAAAACTCTGCCCGCGGTCATCTCAAATGCCCCTCACCCGGTGGTAATGCCCTCAAATTGAACGTTGCGATTGACCCAGATCTTGACCACCCCACCTCTCTTTTTGTGTGGCTCTTTCCTCACGGGGCCTTAGGGGTCGGCGAGAGGGGGGAGGTTGAAACGGCCTGGGCAGAGAGGGAGAAGACAAAGGCGGTCGCTCGCTCGCTCCGCTTTGCGACCTTCCCCAGCGCGGAAGGCAGGAAGCGCGTGCATGGAAGGAGGTCACGCGGAAAACCCACGTGGCCACACCACGGATTGAATCGTCACTGCGCTCATCGCTGGCTTTGGCGTGGCAGCCATCCAGCATTGGATTGGTCAAGGCTGATCACGACGATGGCGATGATGGCACGTTTTTATATTCATCACACTGGCTTGGGGTGGCCTCCATCCGGTAGTGGATTGATCAAGGTTGATCGTGATAATTATGGCACATTTTTACACTCATTACTGGCTTGGAGAGGTCTCCATCCAGCAATGAATGAATCTATGTTGATGATGATAATCGTGGCACATTACACTCATCATTGGCTTGGGGTGGCCTCCATCCAGCAATTAATTAATCAAGGTTGATGATGATAATCATGGAACATGACACTCATAACTGGCTTGGGGAGGTCTCCATCCAGCAATGATTTGATCAAGGTTGATGATGATAATCATGGAACATGACACTCATTACTGGCTTGGGAGACATCCATCCAGCAGTGGCTTGACCAAGGCTGATGACCATCATAGCATTGCAGGTGGGTGGGTGTGTGAGCAGATTTGTAGACGCGTAGCCCGAATATTTATTCTGTTAATTATCTTTCGCGTTAATTTATCATTTGGTATCATGATGCCGATTCATCAACGGTTAACAACTGGACAATATATGAACTGGTGCTGAGCCTCACGTAGGTTTACTCAGCCTTAAATGAGTATCTGGTGCGGTGTGTAGGAACAACTGGCACTGGGGAGACAAAGGCGGCCGGGCGTGGTGCTGACCACTCACTCCCTCGTGTGTCGTGCCGGCCTTCATAGGTGCCACTCGCTAACAGCTTTTGCCCCAAAAGTCTGAGGTGTCTGTCTATGGGTTCAGGAGGTCGTGTGTCTGTGCGAAGCCCCAGTGGCCTAATGGATAAGGCACTGGCCTCCTAAGCCAGGGATTGTGGGTTCGAGTCCCACCTGGGGTATTTGTGGTTTTTTTGTGAAGTTTTATATTTCGATTTAAAGCTTTCGTGACTGCAGGGATTTATCTTCTTGGTTCTTTCGGTAAAGTCACGTAGAAGGGAAATAATAAAATAATAAAAATAAAACATAATAAAAAGCTATTTAATTATTATTATTTTATTATTATTCGTCTTCTTGGTTCTTTCGGTAAAGTCACGTAGAAGGGAAATAATAAAATAATAAAATGCAATTCTCACGACGTTTCGGCCACAACGCAAGCAGCCGTCCTCAGGTGAATAACAGGGCTGTCGGAAAGACAGCGTTGTGGCCGAAACGTCGTGATAACTGTATTTTATCATTTTTATAATTTTATCATTTCCCTTCTACGTGACTTTACCGAAAAAACCAAGAAGAAGTTTCATATTCTTCATTTCACTTGCAGACATTGCCCTTGGTATGCAAACCGTGTTGTATTATTAGTTTAGGTTGTGTCCCTTCAGCAAAGTATTTTTTGTGAGCGGTGGGAAAGTGGTTAGCACACTGCCCTTCGAAAACTCGGCGACCTTAGCTCAATTACCGGACAAAGGCTAAAATGAGTGGCGAGTGATAGCAGACCCTTGGTTGACTCAGCCTTGAAATGAGTACAGTATACAAATGTACCTGTACAGGCCTTTGTAAATCTACTGCTGGATGAAGGCCAGCTCCCCACGCCGTATAGGTCATGAGCGTTGTTTGGCCAGTGCGTGTTGAAGGGATTGAATTAATATCACTCAATCTTGATTTGAAGCGTATAATGCCTCGTCCACAACAGTCTGATTCTCTCACCTGAAGACGGCCGCTTGTTGTTGCGATCGAAACGTCGTGATCTATTATTTTTAAATCCTTTATATTAAGTTCACTTGCTTGCTTGCTTGCGTGCTTGCGTGCTTGCTTGCTTACGACCGTGCAAATCTTTCGGTCGTTTTTTAACCCACTTCCCGTGATCCAATCGAGCTGACATTTTGCACACAGACTCGTTGTGCGTGACAATTAATTTTCGTGAAAATGTTTTCCCAAAATTTTACACTGTTTAGGGAATTTAAAAAAAAATATTATTTACCACTTGCTTAATGGTGGCAGACAATCATCTGACCCATAGGTGGCAGCCATCTCAAGCCAGAGGACGAGAGGACTCTAGCCGCCACGCATATAAAGGATTTATAGTGAAAAACTTTGTTTTTACGGGTTAATTTTTTTCTACCTACGTGACTTTACCGAAAGAACCAAAGAGTATTAATATCACTCGCCAAATTATTTTAGCCGTGAACGAGAATCGAACTCGGGCTGGCCGGGTTCAGAATATGTATAGATCCGATGAGCAATAAAGTTCTTTATCACATATTCCCACAGCGGAGTGCGCTAACCACTGCGCCACCACTCCCACCCCGGCTTGATGTGCAAGCCGTATTCATCGTCGGATTTTCAGGTCACCGTTATGTTGTGCCTCGCTTGTTTGCATTGTACGCGTCCCATCCGTTACATTCACCGAACGGAATAATTGGCCTGAATTTATTAGACAAACGACGAGCCTTTTGCCCGTCCAAGGATGGGTGTATTGCAGTAAATCTGAAACTTGCAAGCAAAAAGCAGACCGCTACGTGATATATTCATTGCATCAATTCGTGTGCAATTTGTAAGGGCGCGGTGACACAGACTTATTTCATTTCAAGGTTATAATCACTTGTTCATCATGACATCCTTTTTACTTCGATGTCTCAACAGCGTTACGGAGACCGCGTGACGTGAGGGTTCTGCCTTTGTAGTGAGGGTTGTAAGTTGACACGGATGAGGGGGGAGGCGCCTCGGCCCCCCATGTGGAGTGACGTCACCCGCTAATTATTATGAATAGGAGAGGGAGACGTCACCTGTTCATGATTTAATGAGGGGGGCTGGTCGACGTGGAGTGACGTCACACGCGTTACACACTGACAACCATTAACGACCTTCGGCCAGGAAGGTCACGAAAAAATTGCACACGAACGACGCATTCACGCAAGCATCCGATGCTCCTTTGTTGTTGGAACTATTATATGTTGGTATTGGCAAAGGTCCCATGATGTAGATGCTCACCCCGAGCTCTCATTACCCTGATAGTGGCATTGTCTTTGGGCTGTGTACGCCTTTTGGTGTCCTCTGGTCTCACATCGTTTGAGACGAGGCTCAAAAGAAAGCTGTCTCTGGTGTGGACCAATCAGTTTAAAGGACAATGCATATATTCTCAGTGTTTTTGTTTGAATTTGACTGCAAGTATTGTGGTTAATGCAGACATGAATCTGTGTAAAAAAAGGTTTCAGTTTTGTTGCCAGAAAAAAGTGGAAAATCCCTATTATTTTTAATCACATATATGTCAACCCCTTATCAGTACCTACTTTATTAGACCAATTCAGTTCTCATAGGTCACCCCGTGCCCTTACAAATCTCAATGTTTATCCAAGAAATCCTGTATTGAAACGGTTGTACGCCGTATGGACCTGAAACTCAATTTCCATGTACAAGAATACCGGTAAACCGTGTGGGTTGACAGGTGTCCAATCTTTTCAAGTTCATTTATCTTAACAAATTCTTACCAGCACCATCAAATGCATGCCATCCCAATAATTTTAATGCATCTATGGGAATAACCATATCCTCGACTCGTAGATGGTCCTTGCCGACATTTGCCAGTTTCCTCGCGTTCACACAAACCAGTCCCTGTCTCTGCTTAAGATACCTCAAAACCGGGTCAGTTTTGCTAACAGTATTGTTGAACTTCTTTTCCACCATATGTAGCCAACCGTGCCTAGAGGTGGGGATTCAATGCTCTCGAAATTATGCACTTCCACTCCACTGCCGGGCCTCAAGGTTGCACAAGAGATGTTGATATATATGGCGACATTGCTCATCGCGTAATTTTGTAGGCGATGCAAACCAATATTTAAAATTCCGTATGCTTGTCAAGACTGCTGTTTGACATGGTAGGTCTATAGCCCTCTACATTTTAAATACTATGGGTCTCTGGCAAAACCTGGCTGTGGATCTTTGGCAGTGGGCCCACATACTGTATTACTTTGTTCAAAGCATTGAATACACGGTCTCCATGGACTCATATTTAAGGACTTGAACACAAGCCAAAGAATGCAGTCCAATTTTGGGGTTATGCCAGTAGCCGGATGTTGGAGGTCGTCCCATCATTTTAGGCAGGGATTATGAAATGTTAAATTAAGTTTCCAACTTAACTTTTGGCTCAACTATCAACATACCAGGCAGGGCTCATAGACCCGTTGCACACGCCAGACCCACCCTTCCTTCTTACCCGAAATGCTCAGAACTTGCAGAATTCCATTTTTTTGTGCAGCGAAGTTTAACCAGGTGAGATCAAAACCAGGAGTCTGTCAGTGACATGGATATGAGTGTGAGAACGGGGGAGTCGTCACCGTGTGGTGGTTTTCACACCATTCTCCAAACCCACCTTCCCTGGTTTGATTCCCACTCATGGCCGTTATCGCCGAAGAATATCTAAAATTGCTCAAAGGCAAAGCAGGTGCATGTAAAAATGACCCACGAGGAGTAGGTGCGTGAATTTTTAAAACGTTTATTGGCATCTGTTTGAGCTGGGCAGACTGGGGCAGGACAGGTGGAAGTTGGTCTTGACTTGTAATGCTGCAAGAGACAAGAGGGATTGGATCAGCACAAGGGCGGGGCACAAACCAGATTTTCCCATGGGGCCTGTGACATTCAATAATTGATAAATTGCACCAATGATGAATGCATTGCATAGGGCAACGTTGAGGAGAAATGCACATTAACCATTTATACATTTTACTAATTATACACAAAAGTTATATTCCAAGTGATGGGAGTGGAATTCAACAGGCGTCACAAAGGAATTGATTCAATCGTGATCCTGAATCGTGAATCACGGGGCAATACATTTACCTGCATATACAGGTAAGAATTCACCCCACTGCACAAGCCGATGAATGGGGCATGTTTTAGGTGATTAAAGAATAAAATTTTGCCTGTTTGCACAATGTAGTTTGCAGTCTTGTGTTTCACTTCTACTAGTTCTCTGTTCAGTTGAACTTGATCTCATTCGTCACATGCGTTTCCATTCATTGCATCTCTTTCGCAACGACCATTGGCCAAATGGGGCAAACCAAATGCAGAAATAGGTATTGACCAATGCCGACACGGTCAATTCAATGCATTTCGAGTGGACTTATTACAAAAACTTTATAATTGAATGCCTGGAGTAAAACCCATCGAAGCTGTTCACCCCGTTAAGAACCAAACTTATAACAAACATGGCACTTGAATAGCATCAGTTGTATGACAGAACAACGCTCGCTTGCTTGGAAAGGTGGCTGGCGTCAGTCTTTATTGGCTTAAAGTTTAAAGACATCTGCACTGTCGGTCAGATGGGGAAAAAAGTGACGTCATCATCCGCCAGCCACGCAGCAAAGAGGGGAGGGACCACTGCCGAGGACGTGCACCACTGCTCTTCGAAAGAGACACGTGTGTGCGGCGATCACTCGAGCGGTGCATTAGCAAACTGTTAATGTGGAGTCTAAGGCTTTCAGGGCTCATCGATATCGATTACAGCTCAAGAGACAGCGGTGGAAATTTCACATTCGTACGGTCGGGCATGAATGTGTCGTGAACCTTCAGCTTTACCCAGTAGACAATAGCTCATCTATGCCTCAGAAGTTTTTCAAATCCTATCGAACATCACCATCCCCTATCACACCACAACCCACACAACTACTGCCATAACCACCATTGCTACCAGCGTCAAAACAAGCAGCATCACTTTCACTACTCCCACCAACACCAATCAACACCATTACTACATACCCTTCCACCAGTTACCTCAACCACCATTGTCATCACACAATAATAGCAACAGCCAACACCACATCATAGTATCATTGCACTACTACTATCATTGCAATCAGCATTACGACCGCTACCACCACCAGTTGCCACAACAATTGTCACCACCACCAACACACCATCTATCACGACACTGACACAAACCACCACTACAATCTGCCACAATCACCACTAAAGCTACCACCACCGCCGTCGCCGCCAGCACTGCTCACACTCAGTTCATCTGTCGCACGAGGCGGTTGATCTGGTCCTCGCGGTTGCCGGCGTCGCCGCCCTCGACGTAGTGAGTCGTCTTCTTGCGCATGCCGCCGCGTGGGGACGACAGCTTGAAGGGCCACAGGAAGTTGTTGGCCAACTTGAAGTTCTTGCCGACCGTGAAGATCTCGTGGATGAGGTCCTCGATGCATATGATGCCAGTCTTCCCTGTAAAGGCACACACACGTAATGTGTTTAATATACAGGTGTCAGTCCACTGCTGGATGAAGGCCTCCCCTGCCATCACCACCCCCCACGACCCACTCCGCCCGCGGTTTGTCCGGTTGAAAGCCGCGACAGGTTCAGATATTACCTAGCCACTAATGTTAGCCATTGGCCGAGAAGCAAAGCCAACAGCCACAATATGAGTGCAGTGTGCAAACTACTGCAGAATGGCTTTAAAAAAGTACATTGAAAAATGTGTAAGTTATTTATAAGCAGACTGAAACGTATGCCAACTATTTTTTATCTCGAATAGAACATCAATATATACCAATCCTCTATGTAAATGTGCACAATTTCCAAATCACAAGCAGATTATTAGACGCTTTGAAGGAAAGATTATTTTTAAATGTACCCAGTTGAATATCAAGCACAACTAAATGTGTTCTTCTACACAAACAGCGACTGATAATCAAGGAGTGTGCTAAAAAAATCAATAACCCACTAGCAACCAAAGTCCAAAAAGCAGGCTTTGGTCGAGTCCGTGGATTAAGTGCACATTAAAAAGGCAAATCAAATTCATTTTGATCATCTGTGGCGAGATGAAATACAAACCAAAAGTAGATTGTAAAGTGCTCCAATAAATCTGGTAAGGAATACCTTTAAAACATATTTGTGGGCTTTCACAATGTTTCAGACATGCCTCCATTGTAAGATTACTGGGACGCATGACCTAAATAAGGCCAGTCTGTATCTCAAAATTATCTAGCGTTTGTGGGCTGCATCTTTTTGAAAAGGTGCCTGGCAGCCTGGGTCAGAGTCAGTCGCACTGGCTTAACAAGTGGAGTCATCCGCATCGTCGATCAGATGGGGAAAGAAAATTGCTCATCACTCTCCGACCCAGGCTCGGCACCGCACAGATTCCCGATGGCAGTGGCCACTGGTGATGTGCACCCTGGTGCTGTAGCATTACTCCTATTGGGAGGCTCACAAGGCGTTGTGATCTCCCCCCCCCCCGTGACCATTCAGCGGTTGGCGTGTGGGACACAGGCGTAGCCGTCGTTGGTTGCAGCGCACGAACCGAGGTTCTTCTCGATGAGCGAGTTGTCAGTGAGGGGGATGCGCTGCTTCTTGATCTTGCCGAAGCCACGCTTGTACACGAGTTCCCGCACCGTCTTCAGGTTGGGGTAGCTGCTCGCGCAACGCACACACGACACGCGCAAACACATACAACACGTTCAAGAGGTCTCATTTTAATGGTTTCCGATTTAAGTGTGAAGCATTTATGCAAGAGGTAGGCGGTATGAGGGGTGGCACAATCATTCTCAAAGATGATTCAATATGAACCAAGCTACTGTGTTGATATGAGGGACTTATATTTATTGGAAACTGGCCAAATTATGTCAAGGTCTGCCCAATAGTTGGGAGAAATACCACAACCAAAATAGATATTACCCAATATGCAAACACATTTTGCTCTAAAAGCTACAAAGATGTTTCATAACTCAAGTCTTAAAGAATATTAATTATACAGGGGCAGATAGATGCAGGCAGATGGGCCACAAATAATACAAAATTAATTCTTAAAAACAAATCTGCTACATTTAGATCGCAATTTAAATAAAAATCAATTGGTAAACAAATCTAACAACTTCACCAGATTCTTTGGGTCTTTCATGTAAAGTCACGGAGAGATAGGTTCAAAGGAAATAAAAATTTACGACGTTTCGATCGCAATGCAAGCGGTGGTCATCAGGCTGAAAAAAAAGACTGTACAGTACAACCTTGGATTGCGAGCAGAATTCGTTCCGGAAACGGTGTTTGTAATCCAATGCACTCGTATATCAGTTGTGATCACGTGACGCTCGGCAGACAAAGCGTATACACGTACTACTCGTATTGCAAGACCTCGCTCGTTTATCAAATTAATATTTATTTAAAAATTTAGCTTGTCTTGCAAAACACTGGCAAACCAAGGTTTAACTGTACTCAAGTATATAATACAAGGTGGTGGCCAGTAGAGGGCAGTACAGCAAAATATATCATTGCAGAATACATTGTCCCACCCACACATTTTCCACACATCACGATTCTGTACCCGAGTGTGGTAAAGAATGATCAAATGAGCCACATGGCAATGGGGAAGCCCTCAACCAGCAGTGGCTTTGACAAAAAAAAGATCTGCACATGAACTATAAGGGCACTTGGCCTGGGTCAGAGTCAGTCGCACTGGCTTAACAAGTGGAGTCATCCGCATCGTCGATCAGATGGGGAAAGAAAGTTGCTCATCACTCTCCGACCCAGGCTCGGCCCTGCAGATTATTACACCCCATTGGCCACTCGGGTTTCCCACCACACGCATAACACGCCTTGAAGATGAATCGGCTACACGTCTCTAAGTAGCAAGGCCCTTATTTAAGAGTCTTGAGAATGAGGCTTTCCTGGATAAATAATTGTCACTGTCGTTATTGGGAGCAGAACCACAATTTGTTGGCGTTTTGAGCTCCAAACCCCGCGATCCAGAGTTCGATTCCTGGCCACGGCTAACATCACTAATCAGTGTACTTAAGTATGGTCAAATAATCCCTGATAGCATGGAGAGGCCTTCAGTAAACCGGTAGCTTCAAAAAAGTCTAAATTATGAATTGCAATACAACTACGTGCAGGATATTTCTTTTAGCACCGTTAATTTTCTCAAATCTTCGGATCTGCCAAGTACCCACGGTGCTAAGGCGGTCCCCCCCCAGGTGGAATCGGTCAGTCGAGGTTGCCACTCACCCCCAGGCGATGTAGGGCTCTGCAATGCGCAGCATGTTGATGGACGCCTTGTTGATGCGCACAAACACACCGTTGAAGATCTGCCGCAGCCTCAGGAGCTGCAGGACCTTGCGCACCTTGGGGCTCACCCCGTTGATACTTCACAGGGAAGACGGCAAAAGAAAAACACGCGCGCAAAAATCAATTAACGTTTCATCCGCCGTTCGACTGTAAACAAGCGAGATGTTGAACTTCTGCCGTTGCCAGATGTTGAACTTCTTTCGCACCGTACGTAGCCAACCGTGCTCATTGGAGGTGCCAGTACAGCAATGGATTCTTGATTCTCAGAATCAAAATCTTTATTTAGACTGGAAGAATCCAGTGAACTATGGAAGCTCTATTTCACAGATGTCCAGTATCTGTGATAGCTTTCAGTTATAACTACCCCTTTAGATACATAGGGTTTTCTCCCACTTTGGTCAAACATCCCCAATGCAGAACACTTCTGAGATTAAGTCATGAGACTCAGTGAGGCTTCTTTTATGGGTAAATAAAGGGCATTACCTCCCCACACTGGTCAAAGTACATTGGCCAAGACATGCAACATAAATGTGATTGTACGGATGTAACATCCTTTGCAGCACTGCCCTCTGCTGGCCCACTACATACACTCCCCGTTGCATTTTACCCCCCTTGTTGCAAACAGATTTTACTCAAAAAAACACCTTATCTGGACAAGAGCCATTTACTGTATCACCTTCCAACTTAACTGTGTAGATGTTAACACAACCTTTCAAACACAGACCCACACGCGTAAAGCTATCACTGGATATTTGCAGTCCACTTTGAGCAAAAACGTGGGTGCGTGCAATCACTAATAATTCCACAAGGCGCCCTGCATAGGCGTGGCTTACAGTGACAGGCTACATTATACAGCGGCAAGTTCAGACAAGAACTGGCAAAAGTTGCTTCTTACTCCGCATTTACGATCAGATGGGGAAAGAAATTGTGGTCATCATTACAAGCCGCTGCAGGTTTTATTTACACTTGCTAGGCTAATCTAAATAGAAATCACACTTTCCATAACCGTATTCCACACCTATTTTTCCATGTGAATGTGAGATTGTGCATACATTTTAATCGAGTAGTGCAATGGTCAGCACAATCTACTACAAATCCAGCAACCTGTTTTTGGATTTCATTTTTCTCTCGAAACTAATTTGCCTTCTCAAACTCTAATCCGATTAGAACCGAGAGATTACATTTTTTATTGGACGACCGAACCTGGACAGACCTGGTTGAAATTAACCCCTGGATCTGTGTCTATCAGTCTAAGGGACTATACTTGAGTCTCTAGGTCAGCGGTCGGGAACCTATGGCTCGCGAGCCATATATGGCTCTTCCAGTGACGGCATCTGGCTCCCAGACAATTTTGAGTTGAAAAAAATCAGTTTGGAACTGATTTTAAAATACTTGTGATATTGCTTAATAATACTGTGTCATTTAAAAGTAAACAGAAATTCGTTTTGAAGATAAATTTCACGGTTCACGCCTGCATGAAGCTCAACCTCACCACGTATGAACCAGACTACAAAGCCATCAGCAAAACCAAGCAGCACCAGAAGTCGCATTAAAAGTAAGACATATTTAATTTAGTATACGTTAAAAATACTATATGGCTCTCAATGAAATATATTTAGAAATATTTGGCTTTTATGGCTCTCCCAGTCAAAAAGGTTCCCGACCCCTGCTCTAGGTCCTATTGCGAGTCTATGGGTCGTACAAATAAAAGCACGCACAAAGCAGAACTCCCATTCCGTCTCACCACAAAAATACCACTGGACAACCCTTCAAATCTGTGACGCACGCGTGTATGAATGTTTAGTAATAGTTTCCAGATTTAGCAAACAACTTGGATCAAACTTTTAATGTAGCTGCCCAAAAGTTTTTGAACTACCTCATTCAGTCTCTTGGCATCTCCATTCTGCCAACTGCCCTCATTTCAACTATTAAAATCACTAAAGTTTGTGAATGTAATTTGACAACATAATTGCAGCTTAGGTTTTTTTGCAAATCAGTAATTGTGGGGGGGGGGGATACATTTCTGAATTAAAACATCTTGTTTTTACTCCATGTCATATTAAATGATAACAGGTTTTTTCCCCATTTTTTCTGGCAAAAAACAGGTGTGCCCGACCTGTGCCAGAGCCCCCCCCCCCCGCCGCCAGCAAGTATTATCAGGGTTCCTAACACGCCCGGAGTCGAGATCCTCACCATACTTCACCCTTTTAGGCTGCTACGGCAGCTTACGCAAGAGGCCACAAGACGTTTTGGCACAACGGTCCATCGTCCGACCATGCGTGACAAAAGTTTTACCCCCGTCAGCATTCGCGGCTTTCAAGACCACAGTTACGAGGGGGACAAGCAGAGAGAGCGTTACCCGCGAATGCGGATGACGAACGCGAGCTTGGGCTCGGCGGGGACGTAGAAGTTGCCAGCCTTGCGCGCCATCCTCGCCAGACGGATCTCACTGCGCTCCTTAGAGTGGTACTCCTTGACGTACGCCTCGGCGCGCTTGTAGATCAGATGGCGCGTCACCCGCCGGTTCTGTGCGAGGACGCGCGGGAGAGAGAAACATGCGGCGGGTGGGCGGGGAGGAGGAGATCATTAGCAAGGTAGTTGTAACAAGATCAACAACCAATTTTACCAATCCCCAATGGTTAGCGTGATGAAATATGGACAATCAGCTATTGCTGATATGGCAACAGTGGATTGATGAAGATGTTGATGTTTTACATAACTCCCAGTTCAGAGGGAGCAATCGTCTCTGGCCAAGTTCACCGCAACCATTTTCGACTGCAAGTTTATTTTAGACCGATAATTTTCCAATTTACTGTAAACAGCATCTAAACGTGACCATCTTGGTCAAGGTTAATTTGTCAATCCACTCCTGGACGGTGGCCTCCACACGCTGTGTGGGTCGTGGTGGTAATTTTGACCATACTTCATCATGCTAGTCATAGCAAGTTGATAAAGGTAGGAAAGCGGACGCTGGAGCGTGCAGTGCAACAATGGATTTTGCTGCACTGTCCTCTGCTACTAGAAAGCCCCATGACATGTTTCTGTATGGAGTCACCCCTCCACGCAACATCCAGGCTTCAACCCCACTTAGCTTCAGCCCATTTGATTAAGATGTTTAGAAAGTCTTAGACGTATAGCATATATACCACTAAAAACCTTGCTAAAGGCCACCTCACATTTATAGAAACTCACACGGGAATTTAGTTTCATTACAAAATATGGGTTTCTCTTAAGCTCTGTGCAGCACGTCAGACAAAACTGGCTTAGTGCAGTTTGCATCGCCACGGTCGATCCGATGGGGAAAAAAGTTCAGTCATCATTGCACCGCACGGCCGCCATTCAATGGCGAAAGAGAATCAACAAATCCACAACTCAATAATATGACCAGGTTACAAAATAAAACTACATCATAGACGCGTGAGCAGTACACGTGCAACAATTCTCCACATTAGCAATGTCCACACACCATATACCAGGTACGCATTTAAGGATCAGTTGACTGATAATTTAAGTGGTACTCATCTCCTGTTTATAGCCCTGAGCCATTGGTGGAAATTCAACATTGCTATGGAAGAGATGAGTTTAATCATAGGGCTACCACTTAACTTCCCAACAAAGTAGTTCTCATTATCAACCCTCGAGGAATGCTGGTCTAAGTCAACCCCCAACCTGGATTTTAACTCACAACCTTCCGGCCGCGAGCCACTTGCTCCACTACTGATCTACCTGGTCAGACAACACACCGTACCAGAAATGTATTAAAGGCCAAATCAGCTTAGGGAAGGCCAACTAATGTTAGCCGGGGTCAGAAACCGAATCCAGGTTTGATGGGTTTATAGCGCGAACCGCTACGTTATGTAGAACTTCTTTCGCACCGAAAGTAGCCAACTGTGCCAATCGGAGGTGCCACTTACACTGGCGCAGTCACGCGGTTGTCGAAACGTACCAAGCGATCACGAACTCGCTGCTTGGCCCGCATGGTGCGCATGGCCTGGAATGCCTTCCTCCTCTTGAGCAGAGACTCGGGCACCTGGGGCACTTTCTTCCCATCCTTTTTCTTCTTCTTCTCCACCGGCACCTCCTCTTTCTTCTGTCTTAAAAGACAAAAAGGGGAAAGCAGACGCACAAACAGTTGGATGTGTCAAGGTTTAACGGATGCGTTCGAGATGGTTGCGAGGACTTGGCTAAGTGTGTTGGTACAAGTTTGATCTTGAGCTTTGGATGTAAAGGCTGGGGAATCACGAGTATATGATTAACAATCAGCTACGAGATGGCCAGATGGCAGTACAGAAAGTGGATTCTTGAAGCTTTATATGCAGATCATTTGATGTTATACCACTATATGCATATTACGTTTTCACTCCGTACTCCAGATTCCTCCATATGAAAAACTGTCATACAGCGGCATTTGATTAATTCCAACTGACTTGAAAAATAATATGGACTTATCTGGATATATATTATATTACCCGATTAATGCACGCAATTAATTAGCCACATCCAGATTCTTTACCAAGCAAAAGGACAAAGTCTACAGACTCACTTCTAAAACGGTTAAACATGTAAAAGTTTGTTGGCCACGTGCTAGCCACGAGCTTCTCAAACGCCAATCATCTAAGCAGATACAGTATATTCAGCAATGAGGTCTTACAAACTGGATGGAGTTGTGGGCGCCATGGATTCCAGGCCACACTACCAGTCCTGGGTCTCTCCCTCCGCCACAACCCACACTGACCATCGCGGTGAAGTATGATCAAATATCCCCCCCCCCTCGACACACACAGCGTGGAAAGGTCTTCGTCCCGCAGTGGACAACAATTATAACGGATTTATATAAACTGTGCGGCGCATCAGACGTAACTGGCATAGTGCAGTTTGCTTCGCCACGTTCGATCCGATGGGGAAAAAAGTTCAGTCATCATTGCACCGCACAGCAGCTTCTCATCATCATCATTATTATCACCGAGATTCCTTCCCATCGTCACGTGGTGGTCACCTAACCCCCGTTTCGGGACCGCGGTTCCTCGTCGCAACGTGGTGCCACTCGGTTTAATTTGAGAGTTTTCCGAGTCCATATAACGTAAGCCCTTTTTTTTAGTCATCAACAAATGTTAAATTCGTGTGTCTCGTTATCGAAAAGTTATTTGCATACTAAATTGTAGTTAGAACCCTTCACTCATTCCAATAATACAATCACTCACCATGAACATAAGCAAAACCGTCCTAGATTACAGATTAAAATCCCGCACATTACACTCGACACCTTAAGCCGACTGCACACACTACACGTATGACTTTACACAATACAGCAACCCTCTGCACTGCACAAAGCCACATTCCACTAAGTACTGTATATACGTTTACAACGAACAACTCAAAATTACCAAACGCACTTTACTCTCAGGTTAACGCATTACATAACATAGTTAACCGATTACACACCAATGTAAAAACGTAAATGTTAATTAAGAACATTATATAAAACATCACGTTCACGCTGCCCCTTGGCTACAATTCACCGCCGAAAGCCTCCTCCGCAGTTGCTGGTCCATGGGTGATCAATGACCATACTTCACCACGCCGGTCAATGCAGGTTGACGCAAGCGGAGCCAGACCCAAGACCGGTTGAGGAATCACCGCCGATGTTAAAACTGTGGTCGGGAAACCCGAGTGGCCGGCTTCACATTTAAGATCGCTATAGCCAACGCGCGACCGCTACAACCCACGTTTAGCAACGTAACATAGTCCACGCCTCGACGTTAATGCCAAATGAAAGAGAAGTTAACACAAAGTATCCACAGTTTAGCGCACGCTAAGTGACACGCGGTCCTGTTTAGAAAAAGGCTTTGCGCTACAGAGGCCCAAGCTAGCGGTGGGCGTTCGCTATGACCTATTAACGCTCAAAACTCAAGTCCACAACACAATACCAACAACGCGAGATTATTCACCACCGAATAATCAATTACAAATAAAAGCAATTACATTACATTGACCCTACGCTTGAACAGGCCTCGCCTCTAGGCTCCTGTCGTGTAGGCCTCACTCAATGCAGCAACTCCATTCACTCGCGCCTCAATTCACAACAAAAAAATACAAACGGTTAAAATTAATCGGCAAATAATTATCCACGGCGATGAATGAACACATCCTGTAGAATTACGACAAGTTGTTTTGATGAATAGACGCGTAGTTTGTAAGGATTGACACGGATCGCGCGACGCTGGAGAGACACTTACTCTGCGTCCGCCATTTCGCCCGGGGGGGAAAGAGGGGGACTCACGCATGCGCAGTGCACTTAGCGGCCCCGCGGTCACGTGGTGCGGGTCCCCCGCCGATTGTGTTTCGTAGCTCGGATAAGCAGCCGCGAGTGAACGCGCGTTTGTATTTTATAGCTCGCATAGAGCGACAGCAATGATTATTATCAAATTTTCCGAAATATAAGACCGATTCTAAAGGAAAGACGCGCACAACTTTGGGGTAACTTTGGCGGGGGGGGGGGGGGGATGCGTTGATAATCGGCAGAAGACCCCATCTATGGGCAGCCGTCTTCCAGAATATGTTTATGAACTAGATCCTCAATATTTGGAGTTTGCGTGTCTCTCTCTCTCCGTGGTCGCGTGGATTTTTCTCCGGGTCCTCCGGGTTTTCCCTCCACATTTATAATCAACGTGCGTGTAGAGCATCTGTGGCTGCTATAAACTTCCACGTGATAAGCCACTTCGTTGAGCTATCATTTGTGGCCAGGTCGCTTCTGAAAAGAGCTACGTAGTTCAGTGGGCCTTAGCTGGTAAAATAAAATAAAGTTAGTGTATAGGCAGCATTATTTAAATTATAACACGCGCCGCCAACTTTTCCTTTCAAAATGATAAATTAAAGGTCAAAGTAAAATGGACATTTAATTCCACATTCATGTAGCGGGGGCGAGTCTATTATAGACAGAGAGGTACTCGTTTTATCGACCCCGGGGGAATGATGGGCTGAGTCAACTCCCAACCAGGATTGGTACCTCGCAACCTTTTCATGTCGTGCCGCTCACTCGACCGCTGAGTCATCTGGCGAGATTTAATTAAAATCAATATGGGTGGAATTTGCGTCTTATAATCCAGACAACAAGACAATTACCCAGTTTTCAGATCCAATAGTCTGGCTGTTGATGAAAGCGCTGTAATTGGGCTTGTACCAATGGCTAGATGCTCGATAGTGAAGAATAATGTTCTCCTTCCACGGCACCTCCGATTAACACGGTTGGCTACGTACGGTGCGAAGGAAGTTCAACAAATAAGGAACAGAACGCGTCGGAGAGGTTGAGATTGCGTACACCGGGGAGATGGAGCGATGAAATCAACTCGCGTGCGGAGATGACGCCGGGCTGGGGGAGGCTTTCATCCAGCAGTGGATTGACCATGACTGGCGGTGATTATGATTCCCAACGAGAGACGTTCTCATGCCACTTCGCCACTGATGTTGGCTGTATCGAACGTAGCGCACTGAGCCACCGCTGTCGACATACAAATACTCTAAACACACACACACACACGGCACAAAGACGAACATCTCCCGTATAGTCTCAAACAGACTGTTGGGGCAAGTGCTGTTAGCGAGCACCTTTGAAGGTCTGAACGGTACACGAGGGGGTGGGTGGCCAGCACCACGCCCGACCGCCTTCGTCTCCCCAGTAGCGATGTTTTTAAGCACCGCAGCAGGAACTCATTTGAGGCTGAGTCGACCTAGGGGAGGGCCCAGGAACCGGTTCAAATAATCGTCACTGGCGTTGGTGGCCGTGAGCGGGAATCGAACTCGGGTCGCCGGGTTCGTAGCAGAGCGCGCTAACCGCTCTAATAACTTGCCACCATGCACACACACACACACCCAACCCCCCCCCCCCCCCACACAAACACACACAACCAGCAAGCACCACAAAAACACTCGTGCACCCACACAGAGCCACACGCCACCACCCACCCACCACACACACACCCACCACACACCCACCCACCCACCACTCTCACGCACGCACGCGCGCGCGCACCCCCTGCGCCGTCACGAAACTTGTTTGTTAAAGAGCCCCCGACACTCGCGAGCGGGACACGAGACGGCCAAGCCTGGACGGCCGCGAGCAAGAGGAAGAGGAGGAGGCGAGCCGAAGAGTAGAACCTGAAACCCCCGGTCCATTGTGAGTGATCGGGGAGACTCTTCATCTTATCGGGTCCTGAATGGCATTGAAAGGGTTGATCGCGTGGACCTGTCGGAGGAAGACCGTGCAATCTCTGTGGGGATATCTCCCAACCCAGATCCCGTCCATCACTTAGGTCCTGCAGCCGTAGATCTCCGTTCCGACAGGATCTGTCATTGTAAAAAAAATCGGATCTCGAATCTCATGGTTCCGTGCTCTGCAGAATCGCTCCTGGAAGTCGCAGAACTGTACAGACTTTCCTGTGGAGGTTCCAGCTCTCTGCCGAATCAATCTCAAGGTTCCAAGGACAAGAGGTTCAGCTATCGCGCTTCCATCTGTCGCGGGATCGCGTGTCAAGGTTCCAGCTCCGCGCAGGTGAGAACACAGCCCCGCACATTCACATCATTCCCATGGGCCGGCAGCGGGCTTCGTTTGCTTTTTATCGGCTTTAGCGTCACACTCATCATAGAACCACCCCAAGAGTTAGCAGAAGTTGCGAGTGATATTTGTATTCGTCTCCCTTCAAAATCACAAAACGCAAACTTTGAATGCGTATGGTTTAACGCCCCAAAAAAGTCTCGCACGCAAAATTGATTCGGTGAATTTTTAAGTGGGTGTAAAATCTCAAATGCTGATTTTCCGATGTTAACATGTGATATCATGTTTTGTTCAGATCCAATCCGGATACACATACACACACTCTTTGTAGATCTAAGTTCAAAACGATAGAAAGAGGCATCTCAAAATGTGTTTTCTAAATGTTGGGGGAGGGGGGAGTTAATTCAATTAAAACAAACTCACATTTGTAAATTTAAGAACTTAAAACCTGATGTCGTACAGCATTTAGATGAGCATTTAGATTCGTAAGCATTCAATGTTTCTGAATTGCAAGCTTTCGTAAGTATATCTCTAACAAAATATATAACTAAACAAAAACAATCATATATTTTTAATCTAGAACCAATGCAATTTTTTATATATTTCTAATCGCTAAATTTGTGCCAAATTAATCTTTCTAGCCCTTCTAGAATATCATAAGAATATTTACATTAATCGCGATCGTTAGCGAGTATTGTATAAGGCGATCCATTTATAGATACTCCACTTAATACAAGTCATCGTATTCACTTCAAAGCCTCTACACGTGTCGCCCACCAATCTCAATTCAACGCATGCAGTCTGGTAACGTCTCTCCTCTGTAAGATACGGTCCCATCGCCTTCGCGACACTATTCAAGAGTAACCCTTTTCGGAAGAAAGTAAGAAGCCCATGATAATTCAGTGGTGTATCCATAAATGGATCGCCGTGTCCCACGACTGCTATGAGTACTCAAGCTGCCATCGTTGGTGAAAGCTCGCCGCTCTTATTAAATACCCGACTCAGCATTAATAAGTTACAATACAGAGGAGGCCTTGTGGGAACAATGCAATTCCGTTATCCTCATTAAGCATTAGTTTATTAACGACGGAGTGTGAGAGCGGTGGCGCAGTGGTTAGCACACTCCCCGCTATGAACACCCCTTGCTCGCCAGGGTTCTATTCCCGGTCACGGCTAACGCGACCGACAAGCGATACCGTTCCTGGGAATTGAACTCGGATGTCCAGATTGGTGGCGCAGTATGCTCACCACTACACCTCCACAGTAATAACATTCACATGGTATACACGTACAGTCATACGCGCAATATGCCACGGACATGACAACTTTGCGTTCAATTCCCGGCCACGGCTAACATCAGCGGTGAGTGATGTCTGGACCGGTCCTGGGTCCTCCCCTCCGCTAACTTGCACTGACCAGCGTGGTGAAGTATGGTCAAATATCGATTTAAAGCTTTCGTGACTGCAGGGATTCATCTTCTTGGTTCTTTCGGTAAAGTTACGTAGAATGGAAATAATAAAATAATAAAAAATAAAACATAATAAAACAATTCTCACGACGTTTCGGCCACAACGCAAGCAGCCGTCCTCAGGTGAAGAACAGGTCTGTCCATTCAGACGCTGTCTTCTGGACAGACCTGTTCTTCACCTGAGGACGGCTGCTTGCGTTGTGGCCGAAACGTCGTGAGAATTGTTTAATTATGTTTAATTTTTTATTATTTTATTATTTCCATTCTATGGTCAAATAACCCCAACGACCGACAACTCGGCGTGGGGAGGCCTTCGTCCAGCAGTGGAGGCTGTAAATTATGATGGTTGTTTACAATCGAGCAGCTTTTGTCTATTTTTGATTCCATGAACAAAGAGACACGAGGCTGCTGGCTGCTACCGCTGCTGCAATATTTACAAGCGCAGAGTCAGTGGTGGAAACTCTTCGTTTCCATGGCGGGGCCCAGGATATACATAATAATTATCACAGCGACATCACTGCCACTGAACGATGCAACCTCACAAACCGGTGCTCATTTTACCGACCACGGAGTAGAGATGAAGATTATCAGAACGATGGTGATGATTGCTATTGATTTTGATGATGCTGCTGCTGCTTCTGATGATCATCATCATAACATTCACCGGTATCAGTGACCTTATTAACTATGATCATGTCGTCGTTAGCACACAGACAAATAACAATAACGATAACAATGCAATGTGTAACAATACCCTTTCACGGACCAATCAGAATGATCATCTTTATTTATCCTGGAGGAATCCGATGGGCTAGGAGGCTCTTTTTCACAGATGTCCAGCAGACCACAGATGACCGCGACTCTGAGGTTCGCGGTCAGTGGCACTCGAAAGCCAGACGATGGAGGCCTCTATAGGTGTCTCTTAAAAGTAGGACAACTAATTTCACACACACACACACACGGAACGACTCAACACATTCGTCAAGGTGCTATGAAAAAGGGCCATTGCCCAAAACGTTGCCTGTGTGTTGTCTTGGTGTGGTCAGGACCGTTGTTGTTGTTGTTTTGCTGCCTTGCCCAAGCTTGCATTTAATGTTGAAAAATCGCCAGGAAGTTATGTACTTAAACATTTTATTTATTTTTTTACTTATTTCTTTTTAACTACTTGCAAACATGTTTTACTTATTTCTTTTTAACTACTTGCAAACATTTAGTTTGTATACTTTTACACCCCTGCCGTTGTTTTGCACTGTTTGTTGTTAGAACTTTTTGAACCGCCCCTCCTGGACATCCGTGCAAAAGAGCTTTATA